GACCTGTGAAACGTGACCTGTTGGACCTATGGGACCTGTGAGACCTGTTGGACCTATGAGACCTGTGACCTGTTAAACCCGTGAGACCTGTTGGACCTATGAAACAGACCTGTGAGACCTGTTGGACCTGTGAAACGTGACCTGTTGGACCTGTGAAACATGTGACCTGTTGGACCTATTGGACCTGTGAGACCTGTTGGACCTATGAGACCTGTGACCTGTTAAACCTGTGAGACCTGTTGGACCTGTGAAACATGTGACCTGTTGGACCTGTGAAACATGTGACCTGTTGGACCTATGGGACCTGTGAAACCTGTTGGACTTGTGAAACCTGTGACCTGTTGGACCTGTGAGACCTGTGACCTGTTAAACCTTTGAGACCTGTGACCTGTTAAACCTGTGAGACCTGTGACCTGTTAAACCTGTGAGACCTGTGACACCTGTTAGACGTGAGACCTGTCAGACCTGATGTGGTTGGGATCTCAGGGTGGGACTCATCAGACCTGACTGACAGGTCTGTGCTTGTCCATCATTTAATGTTTTCCTAACCAGCATGTGGACCACCTCAGGGTTCTGATCTAGTTTGTTCCAGATCTATGTGCTGTGTCCCTTTAGGCAGGATTATCAAGTAGTTCTAGAACGTCTACATCTGTTAGATCTGTGAGACCTGGGGTGAAAGGTCATTTCAGGACTAGAGGTGATCAGACCAGGGATCAGCGCATCAGAACGTGTAGAATCTGGAGAGCTGCTTGTGATCCAGAGGCGGCCTTATGATGGGTCAGGTCCTTCTAGCAGCGTTTGGAGCTTGTTGACACCTTTGATTCTGTTCGGTCCAGATTCCGGTACTACCAGAACGTCTGCACTGTCAGCTACTCGTCCGTGTGGTGGGACTGGTCTAGATGGGAGACGGAGATCGACTGGATGGCTCTGAATGGAATCAACCTTCCTCTGGCCTTCACAGGTCAGGAAGCTCTGTGGGAGGAGGTGAGAACCTGAAGGTCCACTTTCATTTAGAAGAACCTTCAGAACCAACAGTTCTTAATGAGCAAAGAAGATCAGGAGATGGCTCAGAGCTTCAGCTGCTCCAGCTGTGAGCTCAGGCCTCTAGAACCAGGTCCATTAGCCTGATGAAGCTCCAGTTAGATCCTGTTAGTTCCTTTTAGCACCTGTTAGATCCTATTAGCTCCTGTTAGATCCTATTAGCTCCTGTTAGATCCTATTAGTTCCTGTTATCGCCTGTTAGC